AGTGCCTATGTTGCTGCTCGCATACGGATTTTGAACCCATCCCGTTACCTGCCTAACAAAGTGGAAGAGCAAAATATATTCAGCAGAATCATTATGGGAGCCACCTTCTGCAGGTCTGTAAATAAGTTGCTGTTTGGTGTGCAGAGTTTGTGTACAGGGAGACTGAGATGAAGTCCGGAGTCTGATGCTATTTTTTGAATTGATTGGGCTTTCATGAGCAGAAAATTTTCTTGCACCAAAGTTCCATGTCTGTCTTCACCTGTAAACAAGTCTAAGAGAGTTTTGTCAAAGTGCGATCTGAAGTTGAGCACATCATATGCTTGACTGGTATGATCTGGTATAGATCTGAATTAATATATCAAGTAGAGAAATAAGTGTTTGCAAGGTTATTAAACAGCTGTTGCAGTTCATCACAGTTGTGTGACATTTTCTTGAGGTGCCTATAAGTAGCTTTTGAGATCTCTTTGAATGGAAATGTATAAAAAAAAATTCATTTGCATTGATTCTGTTTTTCCTGTGGGAGTTCCACATCTACGTTCTAGGCATTACCAGTGATTTTCAAACTAGAACGTCTTTTGAAATCTTCATTTTTAATGTGGTTTTTTTTCATTCCTAATACAAAACTAAATTGGAATTCTCTTTTATTCCCCTTCAATATAACTCATAAGCAAGCAACGGCCTGGCTAGACCCTGCTCCAAACCAAAGCAGCTGTTACTGTGTCATCTCTTCATGCAAGTGGGCCCTGCCTCTGCTGACTCATAAAAAACACATAAAATATTACTGTTGTGCCACAGCCTGGGTCACAGTGGGGCACCATGCAACCAGGCACCATAAAACAAACTTGGTCCAAGGTGAAGCCCAGCTCATGGCAAGCTGTTAACCTTACAGCTGCTAGCGCTAAGGAAAGGGCTACACAGTGCCTTCAGGAATCTGGTAGCAATATTTGGTGCTAATGGAGTTTACTTATTTGTAAGCCTCATATAATTCCAGAACCAGAATATCCCAGGTAAATTCTCAGTCTGCTAAGTTTACAGGGCTTTTGAGAAGCCGCAGATTTCAGTGTTATATTCCTTCCCACAGCATCTGCATCATTTGGGAAACTCCATATGAGTGCTTCATTGCCTGTGCCAGTTTGCCATTTTGTTCCTGTGAATTAATCCCTGTCAGCAACAGGTTGTTATAGAGCCTCTTTCTGAATAAGTATTTCTGTCATTCTTACTGGTAAGTTTACTGTTAATCAATGTTTGAACCACTAGGGCTAGGAAATCTGATGCTACATCCTTGTTTCATCTTCTTTAATGGATGGATCATTTCCCTGTCAGCTGTGGATCTGAGCTTTCAAGTGACTATCTGAAGCAATTGGTGTTATTCAATCAATGGTCTCCAGCCCACAGGTGGTCCACAAAACATCAGAAGATAATCTGTAGAGCAGGTTGAATTGAAAGTGAAAATCAAAACAATCCTGAAGGCGTGCACAGCAATGCCCTGTGGTTAACCACAAGCAGTGTTCTTCTGGCTGCATGCAAAACTATATCAATGGTGCAGGTTGATGTAGATTATTTTTTTTCCCCAAGTTTCACTGAGAAGCCTGAGAAACGCCACTACAAGGACATCTTGTTTTTTTTTTTTATGAAAGGTTTGTTATTACCAGCTCAGTTTCAGTGTGAGAAGGGTAGTTAAGGAGTTGCACAGCAGATTGGGTTCTGACTATGTTGCAGTCCTGAGGTTCGCTACTCTGGCTCTTTCTTGAGGTGTTATGAAGGAAATATCTTGGCATGGATGCCTGTGAACTAGGCCTATGGGGGCATACCTGGGCCTCGTTATAGACAGCAGGGTACAGATATCCCTGTGCTACCTCTGAAAGGAGGTTGTATGGAGATGAGATTTTTGCCTCTTTTCCCAGGAAACCGGATAGAACAAGAGGTAATGACTTTAAGTTGTGCTCAGGCAGTTCAGGTTGAGTGTTTATTCTCAGCAAGGGTGGTTGGGCACTGGAACAACTGCCCAGAAAGGTGAAGGCATCACTGTCCCTGGAGGTATTCAAGAAATGTGACACTGGGAGGTATGATTAGCAGGCATGGAGGAGATGAGTTAATTGTTGGTTATGGTCTTAGTGATCATTTACAGCCTTAATGATTCTAAGATTCTATACCTGGCACAAAGGTGAGATTCCTTTGATAACACAAAGCAGTGCCTGGAGTGTGCTGCGCACACCAGCTCTATCCACCATGATGCTCTCATGAGTTGGATCTGATTGTCTGGTTTGTGTGAACTCTGGAGGGAAAAAAATGTCATTACACATTTGTCCTGTTAGGATCCCCCTTAGCAACAGCTTGGAGTAGTTGTGACCTGATTCACCAGTGATCATGAGGGCCCTCTAAACAGCATGAAGTGTGTGTGTGTGTCAGCAGGCTGCATTCCCACTGGCTTCAAAAGCAGAAATGTGTGCACTGTTCAGAGCACAGCCATATGCACAAATATTTCTAGAGGTGTGGTGCTTTTCATCATGGTCTTCCAGAACGTTTCTTTTTCGTATATATCAGAAAATGACTACCTTGTGGCCTATGATGCAATGTGCTCTACTGATAGCTCTGTGTATTAGAGTATTACGAGAAGAAAAGAAATCACAGACTCTGAAATTGTTTCACGGTACTGCTATATTGAGATGTGCTTTTTCTTTTGTCTCTTAATTTTCACCTCTCGCTTGCATTCTAGTTATTACATTTTCAGCTTTTTTTCCCACAACTGGTAAGACTCAAAATTTTTTGCTTCAACTTTTGTGTTTTTCCATTCTCCTTTTCCTTCCTATGAAAGATGAAATTTTTACATAATCACAGGATTTCAGGTGATGAGCTTTCTAAATATACATACACTTCCCTTCGACCACCTTGTATATCCACGAGTATCTTAATAAAAATGTGAGTGCTGCCACAGCTCCGACTGTGAGGCTTATTTTCTGTTGACAGTTTCATTACTGAAAAGAACAAGATCATTTCACTTGAAATATATGGGGAAAAAAAACCCCTCTGAAATTATCTCTGCTGGAATTTGAATCGGGCTCCCATACAGAAAGCAGAAAGCCCTGAACATCTTGAAGTGCTACCTGTGGCACTCTTCAAAATGTATCTGATGGTTGCTAAATTGTCATTTTTAGCTAACATTTAATTAAGTATCCCCATCCAGATAGTTTTAATTATACATTGGTTGTTCTGAAAGTAATGCCTCTTATTTTTTTTTGCGTGAAAACTACAATAAATATGAAGTTCACAATAATACAATTTGAAATAGCAAACTCTCACAAAATGCCTTTTTTTTTTTTTTTTTTAACAACATAGTAATACCCATTAGCTACATGGTTTCACCAGTGATGAACAAGAGACTGCATTTCATGATGTGACAGCTGTGCATGGCTGTCTGGAATATGGCTTGTCTTTCATGTCACTGTTGCCTCTGCCTCACTGTGCTGCATCCACTGTTTGGTCTCCATAAATGTTTAATGAGTGTTGACGAATGTCAGTGGGAGCCATTTTTTCCATGTGGAGGAATTCAGTGACCTCCCTTTGCTTCACACACACTTTCATGTCAGACCCCATTTTGTCAGACTGCCCCTCTGCTGCAGTGTGTCACACAGCTACATAATGTAATGGATTATTGTGGTAAGGTTCAACCTCTACTGCCTACCTCCAACATCCACCTCTGATGTTGTGGGCCAACATAATAAAATAGGAGGCATTACTTTTGGAGCAACCCTCATGTAATATGGCTGAATATGAAAGAAGTTTGTCAACCATCTGCAACCAACAGCAATGTAATCCTTGCCAAAAATAAGATCTGGTGCATAGAAAAAATAAGAGATAGGAAATGACTTGGGAGACAATTGGGATTAGGTAGCAGAATTATGTACCCTTTTCAGCCTCATAAGCTTCTAATAAAAATAATTTTACAAATCACACGTTCCTCTTTCCTTCATTAAAGCACCTGGTGTTGTGGTGATGATTTCACTAGGATCTTCACAGGAAATCAGTGCCAGCAACGAAAGACGCTTGCTAAACATGTTTTAGCAATGGAGGTGTATGCTATCTTTTGCGGTCATGACCAGAAAATAAAGCTTAGTACGTAAAAGGGTTTCTTATTTCTTTTCTTATTTCAGAGTTTTTAAGATAAAATGAAAAGAGCATGATAAATGTTCAAAGCATTCTGCCTTATAAATGTTCAAGAATATTTTTTGTTGAATGTAGATCTAATGAAACAATGTCTTACTGGATCTAGTAAAACAAAAACTTTAAAATAGAAGTTTTATTCCATTTCTAATAACATTTGTGGAAAAAAAAGTGAATATTTGTCTTTGAGTAAAAATTTAAATGGAAAGTTTCCTTTTGTTAAGTGTTAATTCTAAGTAGGGCCATTAATTCTGTCTTGCAGTTTCAGGCAATTAATCAAACAGGCAAGAAAAAAATTATTACCGTTTGCAAGCTTAAATTTTCTTGAGTGCAAACCGTCAAAAGTCTCATGTGTCCTGACTCAGGCTTTCATCTCTTCCTGAGTTTGCAGTGGTGTACGTCTTTCCTGTTCTTGCCAGTCTCTGACCAACCACAGTATCTCGTGGCCACCTCTTTCTGCTAACCTGAATGCACCAAGCACTAATCTGAGCCCTGTCCCTCACTGTACTGAAGGGACTGTGATTTATGTTAGAGGCTGGTGGAGCATTATGAAGAATATCCTGAGCTTGGGGAAATAGTGCAACATCTTCCATAATGTCTGCTTCCACAACTTACTTTAATAACACCCTGTATGTGTTCCTCCAAATCCTGCTGAGGCACTTTGTGTGCTCTCATGTCCCTCTTCACTGTCTGCAAAGATGCACAGAACTTAGAAGAAAACTTAGCAATGAATTTAAATAATTCTAAGCAATTTTTTAGAATAAAAATTACAAAGTTGTTTATGTCCTTAATTTCAAATTTAATGTTAAATGTTTCACCAAGGCTCTCTGTCCTTCCAGGTTTTCACAGGAAACAGCAATGCTGACAGTGTGGTTCACCACAAACTCCTGTACTCCATGAAAGCTCGCTTCTTGCGCTTCATCCCTCTGAAGTGGAATTTTGGTGGTCACATAGGGCTGAGAGTGGAGGTCTTCGGCTGCTCTTATAGTAAGTGGCTAGCTCTTATCTCACGTTTTCTTAAGAAGCTTTTGTTGGTGGTGTCAATACTTCAGTAGGAATCTAGCAAGGAATGAGTTAAAATGTAACATGAATTATATAAGTCATTTCTTTTTTTTCAGCAGTAGTGCTTGTCTTTCTGTATGGGGATGTGCTCCCATCTAGCTCTGCTGGTAAAGCTTTGTCAGAGATGAGTAAAACTGTATGATGCTATGACATCTCATGTCTCACCTCTTGCTTCTATGGAGGTTTGTACAGGGTTTTATTTAGGAATATCACTGCCATCTCCTTAAGGGTAGTTTTTGCATGTGATGACTTATTTATATTTTTTTAAGGCAAGCTATCTAAGGAAAGTGCTAAGCTTGTGCAGCTAGTGTTTCTGTTTGAGACTGATGACTTTATAACTCTAGAGACAAGACAACTTATCAGCTGCTTTACAGTTTTTGCATGGTACTTTTCTTCAAGACAGGGTGATGACCTTCTGAGACACCATCTGCAGCACATTGTCATGGGGTCAGTTTATAAACACTGTTACTTCCAGGCATTTCAGCCACATAATTATCTCTGGGTGGTGCAAATGTATGACGTATGACCATGTTAGTGTATGAAAGTAAAGAAAAAGGCCCAGTGTTGCTCTCAGACGCAAATACAGACAAGTCCCCAAGTGAGGAAACACAATTACAATATTTGTTCCTTAGGTGACTGTGGGTTTATTTCTGTTGAGGTCAAATATGACTTCGTAATGCACAGAGACTTCTGGAGACAGGCAATGTTTGATTGAAAAGCTCAGAGGATTAACAGCATTTTGGCCAGTAAATTTGATGTGATGTGGAACAGCTTACCATTATGTGACGCTACTGTAATTCTATCTCTGCCCATTTAGATTTAGTCCTCATCTGCTGCTCGTATGTGCAGAAAAGGAGTTGTAAGATAAAAAGTGGGAAAGCTGTCTGGGAGAATTGTTGAATTTGTCTCAGCAGGATGAAGAGTGGAGTGTGTCTTAAAAGTTTTGGTTGTCATGATCTCCTTGGACAGAGCGTACACTCAGATCTTAAAACCAGTGCACATAGTTTCACATTAAGGTCCTTGTTATTTGTGTGTAGATCCAAAAACCTCATTCAGCTTTTTTTAGATGCTGTCTCTCCACCTACTTTTATACTTAGACATTATAAACTATTCATTACATAGTGACCTGCAATGTCCTGTTCTAGACAGACTGCTGCTTACATAAGATACCTTTTTCCGGCCACACCAATGAACATGGAAACTGAAACTTACATATAAATTAAAACTAACTGTCCTTGATGTCATCGTTTCAAAATAACTATCTTATCAATTTTCAAGGAGCTTTTATCCATTATTATGACCAAATCTCTGCCGTGAAGAGTGTAGTCCAGTCTTGCAGCAAATGAGACTGGAACTAAAACTTGAATTTTTTTTAGCTGAAAGCATTTTGATGTTGCTCCATGTGAAATGCTATATGGGCACTACATCCATGTCAGTCTGTGGTTGTATCTTCTGTGATACGAAGAAAACATCAGAGTGACTTGCTGGCTGAGTTTCTTTATGCTAATATCATCTAAGTCTTCATCTTCATCCTGTACCCTGCAGTTAACAGGGAATAAAAATGGTTGTGGAGAATTAAGGTATGAAGTTGAAGTGAAGCAGAAAAGAAATATAGGGATTCATAAAAGTTTTAAAAGGGTGTTGAAATATTCATTCCATTTATATAAATGTGCCATTCAGATTTCTATTCGGCAAATTTTGTATGCAAAGCAATTTCTGTCTACAAGTTTTGTTTATATAGCTTCACAGTCTTGCCTACTCCTAAAGCCAGGTACTCCAGCATGATACAAAGATGTATGATCATTTATAAAATGTCACCTTTACTCTTAAACTGATGGAATGTCTACAGCAGATCTTGAGCTGGTGAACACCTACAAGTGCTTTTTGTATTGCTTGACAGCATACAGGCTCATCCACTGTGTTCAGTTCTGGGACAAGAAATACAGTAATAATTGGGGGAAAAAAAAATTAAATGACAAAAATAACACTAGACACAGTGTGGTCACAAACCAGGAAGAAAGTGGAGCTTAAGAGAGAACGATGGACCAAATGTACAGCATGTCTAAGAGATGACCCTTTATGCAAGTGTCTCTGTATATGAAAGAAGGGATGTGAGGCCTGGGAGTAGGAACAGCATTATTATCACCTTCAAGTACCAAAAGCTTAAACTGATATAAGTTCATCAATGAAAATCTATTTCCTATTGATGCCCAATCCTCTCTAAACTGTTGGAATGCTTGTCAGGCTTCAATATGTAAAAAAACCCAGAGTATTTGCTACTAAGTCCACCAAGGTTGAAAAAAAATATTTTTCAGTGCCATGTTTGCTTTGGATCCAGTTGTGAAACATAAGAAAAACTGAAAACATGCATGAGGAACACAGATGAGCCAGATCATGCACAAATATTCACGTGCAACCGCTGAGTTGCACTGATAGCAAGTTAAAAGTCAGATGGTGCTGGACTTTTGGTTGTCTATTCCACCTTTCAAGCAACTTCTGTCCCTACTGTATGGTACCTGGTCTGAAAATGGTGTTGCGTTATATTGATATCCTGGGCAGAAAATTGGAAAAGCAATTATTTGCAGGCAAGCTGGAGGTCCTTTTTGTGGAAGTGGCAGCATTCTTTGAATGACTTAAACAAAAGTTTGAGGGTACTGACAGCTTAGGCCATCTGAATTGAATGAGCTGCTGCACATCTGTTAAAAATCTTGGGACTAATGCCAAATATGCAGCTGAGCACTTCAGTAGTACACCAAGGAGTGCAAAATAGCCTGTGGCCCTTTGTATGGTCTCCAACCACATCAGCTCCTTTTTAACCTTGTACATTTGAGCGTAAGATGGCAGCTGAAGGAAGATTTTGTGGTTTTGCTGCTGCATAAGCATTTTTGTAATGGCAGATCTCAGTAAATGTGACACCTTTGTGCCTGTGCAAGGCTTTGACCTCTCATTTTTTGGAGCGTGACTGTCCTCTGCTGAAAAGGTCCCAGGAACACAACCTTGTGCTAACTTTTGGCAAATGCAGCTTTCAATGTTGACTGCTTAGCAGGAAGCAGATGGAAGGCATCCGTCAGGCCTTCTTGGTCTCCAGGATCTCTACCAGGATACAGTAAATAAAAAATATTGAAGAGTCATATTATAGATTAAGTACAATATGCACAGGATGCCAAAGTGGCTAGCTTAGCATCTGACTGCAATGTACTGCTGTGTGGCATTCACTGTTGTTTATTACTCCTGATATAGGTCGTTTACTGTTGTGAATTTATCCCAAACACTCTTCTGGCAAACAAAAGTACTTTCAGTTTTTTCTCGTTTCTTCCTGTTTCTTCCCTTTCTCTCTTTAACTGGCTACCAGTCGACAATGTTTATTTGGAACATACAAACATATATTTACCAACAAAGCTGTCTCATGCAGATGAGTATCTTGACCTTATCATAATATGGATCAAAGCTCCTTTGGGTAAAAAAATCACATAAGGCTGTCAGATAAACTGGAATTCACAGAGGACGTGTGTATATTGATGTTTTCTTTCTCAGAGAAACTATGTATTTCAATGAAATATAATTGCATTTATTTGAAGTTTCTGCAAAAGTTCTATCCTCAAAATAGATACTGAAGTAGGAGCAAGATGATCTCAAAAAATATACAGGGATGCTTTCTGCTCAGAAAACATAATATGTGTTTTGTTAAGTGGAAATTTCCATCTAGTGGTGTGTGTATGCTTCACTGGCCATTTTCAGTGAGGAATCCAGAAGCAGTGTGCTTGCAACAGATAACTGGAGTTGCCACAGAGGAGGTGTTCAGACAAATGGCAAACCAATTGCTTTGGATGCTGGAGGGAATGGGTCTATCTTTATACTTGGGAATAGTCTTGTTAGCTTAGCACAGGGGAAAAAATCTGACACAATTTCTTTTATAGAATAAGATTTATAGTTGCGTTGAAGATGCTGATTTGTACTCTATAACTAGTTAAAGGCCCAAAATGCATCAGCAGGATCAGGGAATGTTCAGTTAACAGGCTGGGGAATCACAGGAGAAACAATGATAGGGTCTGAGATAGGGTATCTTCTGCCTTTGAGAGATTAATTTTCATTTGCAGTTCAGCACTCTGGTTTCTCATCTTTTGCTCTCCTTGCTTCAGGGAATACAATCTGATATTGTGCTCTCGATGAAATGATACTTCTGCTTGATCTTTCTTTTTGCCTCTTTCTCTTTCCCTCCGAACCCCCTTGCCTTCTTCCATCTTCTCCTTCGTCTTCTGACAAGGCAAAAAAAAAAGAACACAAAAAGCCACATCCTGTGTGAGAGACATTAACCCAGTCTAAGTCAAATACCCAAAGGAGTACTTACCAAGAGACAGAGAGATTTGTGATTAAAAACAAATCTGCCTAGCAGAACAGTCACCTTTGAGGTGCTCATCCACATTTTTCCCTTGAGATACAGGATTGAGAGAACTGTGGAGCAGGAGGTCGTATTGCTTCAGATGTCCTGAAGCCAGCAAGGCCTGGACATCTGTTCATACAGAGAACAGAGTTCCTACCTGCCACAGGGAGCCAAGGCTTCTGCTCATTGATACAGGTGCAAGAGTAAGAGTTTTTATCTCAAATTGCAGCAGTTCTTAGAAGATATTTTCAAACTGAGAAGTAACTTTGCTGAGTAACTAGTTACTTTTCTCCAAAATAATTAGTAGGAGCGTCTTTGTAAGAAAAAACATGTATCTTCTGTTCTGCCTCCTTGTTTGTTCCTGCACAAGTAAACTCCATTCTCTCACCTTGTTTTCAGTCTGTCATCTGCCAGCATAGCTAGTCCCATAGGTTGAGCCCTTAGGTCCTGTACTTTTATGCATTTTATTTATTCTTTATTTTTATTTTTAGTGCTGAATTAACCTGATAATTCAGCTTCAACTGACTGTTTCCACCCACCCCTAAGTGATTTTAATGTTGGGATCTGTTTTGGGAAAGCAAATTGAAGCACAGGAAGTATATGAAGACTGAATGAAGCCACAGAGTCACAGAATTGTAGGGGTTGGAGGGGACCTCTAGAGATCGTCGAGACCAACCCCCCTGCCAAAGCAGGTTCCCTACAGCAGGTCGCACAGGTAGGCGTCCAGGCGAGACTTGAATATCTCCAGAGAAGGAAACTCCACAACCCCCCTGGGCAACCTGTTCCAGTGCTCCGTCACCCTCACCTTAAAGAAGTTCTTGCGCACATACATGTGGAACCTCCTATGCTGCAGCTTATGTCCGTTTCCCCTTGTCTTGACTCCACATACCACTGAAAAGAGACTGGCCTCACCACTATGGCTCCCACACCTCAGATATTTATAAACCTGGATTAGATCCCCTCTCAGTCATCTTTTCTCAGGCTAAACAGACCCAGTTCACTCAGCCTCTCTTCATAGGGGAGATGCTCCAGGCCCTTCGCCATTTTTGTGCCCCTCCACTGGACTCTCTCCAAGAGCTCCCTGTCTTTTTTGTACTGGGGAGCCCAGAACTGGACACAGTACTCCAGATGAGGCCTTACCAGGGCAGAGTAGAGGGGGAGGATCACCTCCCTCAATCTGCTGGACACGCTCTTTTTAGTGCACCCCAGAATGCCATTGGCCTTTTTGGCCACGAGGGCACACTGCTGGCTCATAGCCAACCTGTCAACCGGCAGGATGCCAGGTCCCTCTCTGCAGAGCTCCTCTCCAGCAGCTCATCCCCCAGCCTGTACTGGTGCATGCAATTATTCCTCCCTAGGTGTAAGACTGTACATGTGCTTTTGTTGTCTCTCTTCAGTGAGCACCAGAAAACCAGCATGTAGTGCAGAATGAAATCGTATCTTGTATTTTAGTTTTTTTACTTCTGTAGATTTTCTTAGACTTATAATATTTCTTATCGTTGTCTTTCACAGGTGAGTTACAAACATATGTGTGTTCTAAATAAATACAAACACTCCAGTTTTCTGAAATAACTACTATATTAGCGCTGGATCTTCCAGTTTTTTATAGGAAGACAATCATTTGTTGTCTGCCACTAATGAATTCTGGATGCCAATATTAGCATATATTTGATATGTTCACATTTTATTCTGGGTTATTTGTTGGCTAGTGTCTTCACAACTGAAAATGAGTGAAGGAGCACTTACCAGAAGTAGATTTCCTGTTGTACTGTTCTTTGTAAATGTTGAGGTCAGAACTGTTCTAGAAATTATGTTACATTGTTAGAGCTTAGAGTTAAGATTTTAAATACAAACCTCTTTACACGTTAGTCTGGTTTAAAATGTAAAAAAGGAGAAGAAAAATGGAAAAAAAATCCCAAACTCAAACAAACCATTACTAAAAATGAAAGTACAATTAAACTCCAAGGAGTTTAAGAACTCTCAAAGGAGCTTAAAAGACTTAAAATCAACATCTTTAATACAGTTGCTGACCTGGAAGTCTTGATTATTTTACATGTGGACCTTTAAGTTATTTTTAAAAGAAAATAAAAAACTGATTGCTTTAGGTTATCATTAAAACATGGTTTGCAAACAAAGGTAGCCTTTACTTTTTCTTCTTTTTTACTGCAAAGATATTCTTTGTCTTTACCATGTATTCCCAGCAGTTTTGTAGCATGGTAAATGCTTGTTCAGATTTTTTTCTTCCAATGTCCTTTAAGATTTTTCTTAACAAAGAAAAAGCTAATTTACAGAATTTACATATTTATAATTTACAAGTAGATACTTCATTTGTAATTTGTGACAAATTAGATTTGGATAGACTTAGAACAGAATTTATGTAAGTTGCTCCGAAAGGAATGCTTCCTATTTATTTCCATGGAGAGTACAGTGGATACAAAGAGCACAATAATGCTATTTGATAGAGCAAATTCTCAGTTACAAAACACTGTTGCAGCTATCTTTCAACATAGTCACAACCATTAGCTATGCATTTTCATCAATGATGATCAAGAGGCTGCGTGCCATCCATGTAAAAACGTGCACTAGCAGAGATGACCAACTGTTTTACATTTGCTGTAACAGCCTCATTGCTAGAAAAATGTTGGCCATGCAGTCCGATTTTCATTTTGCTGACATCCACTATTTGATCTTCATAAACGTTCAGCAAGCGTCAATGAATAGTTAGTGGGTGCCATTTTGGAGGAATTTAGTGATACACCTTTGCTTCATATGCTCTTCCATGTCAGACAGCATTCTATCAGTCTGACCTGTTGTTGCTGTCTGTTGAACAGCAATAAGATATAATAAGAATATAGTAGGGAAGGTTCAACCTCTTCTGCCATATCAGCAACATCTGCCTCTGATGTTGTGTACGAATGTAATAAAACGGGAGGCATTAGTTTTGGAGCACTCCTTGCATACATCAGTCATATTTCACTATGATGCCTAATTTAAGAGTACCTCAAATTTTCTGGCTATATATGGAGAAAAAGAAAATTTCCCAAAAACATATTTCACTTAACATACCATTTTGTTATGCAAAGAGAGTATTGTATTCTTCTGTGCTGAAGGAAACATTTATTGGAATTGAAGAGCTGGTAGCTTGATTCCCATCACTGTGATTGGGTTTTAGAGTCTGGCTGAAGAGGGAAGTATGTTTTCAAATAGGATTTTCAAAAGTGTGTAATCAGTTTAGGTGCTCAGTTCCCATGAAATCCCTTCAAAATTTTTTGAATTGATATTTGAACAGTTCTGCCAGCATACTCAATTTGCATGCAGAAATATGATTGATAAAAATCCATCACAAGCATGCAGCCAACCCTAGAGGCTAAGATGGCGCTTATTTGGATGCAAAGGTAGATGCAGATATGGCCGTGCAAAAACATCTCGCCAGGCATTTCTGAAGGTACAAAACCTTGAGTGAGAGCTCATGTAATTCAAAGTAATGAATAATATCCTGGGTGTGTTTAAGAGACAAACAACAAGTGTGACAAGGAATGCTCTGGAGTTCTGAATCTAAAGGAAGGTTTGTTTTAAAAAGTCAAGAGACAAAACAAACCTCACATGAGAAGGAGGAGGAAAGATGAAGAGTACTTCTGTTTTTTCATAGTGTTTCCCTTTCTCCCAAACAGAGCAAGAGTGCTTGTAAATGGATGAAATGTTGTATGGTTCCCGGGTTGCACAGCTTCTATGTATGTCTTGTGGATTTATACTTCTGAGAATACCAAGCTCCAAGCAGTAATTGAAACAATCCTGAATCATTTTGGTCCTTCTCCTGATGCTGTCTCCTCTTCATTTGGTCATCTTCTTTTCTCCAGAGTCAGATATTGCAGACTTCGATGGCAGAAGTTCCCTCCTCTACAGGTTCAATCAGAAGCTTATGAGCACGTTCAAAGATGTGGTTTCCTTAAAGTTCAAGAGCATGCAGGAGGATGGAGTCTTATTCCATGGAGAAGGACAACGAGGAGACTATATTACCCTGGAACTACAGAAGGGGAAGCTGTCCTTGCACATCAACCTGGGTGAGAGCAATTAAGCTTGCTGGTTCACATATTAGTCTAACAAGGATTGCCTTAGTTTTTGTTGTTGTTGTTTTTTCTTTGTTTGTTTTGTTATATTAAGCACAAACTAGAAACTTCAGCTCAGATCAGTAGTGATTCTATGGCTTGGAGTTCAAAGAGTTTATTGTCTTTTTTTTCTTTTTTTTTCTGTTTTGTAATCAAAACTTTGCAGAAAACACAGAAATGAATTGAAATATCTTTGATCAAAATATTGTGTATTTGGATATTGCATTGTTTCTAGAGATGGTTGCTGTTGAGTACTGTGAATATCTGGAAGACTATCACCATGTGATCATGTTGGGTTGCAGGGGCAGATGAAAGACTGGATTAGTTTCTCTTTGTAGAAGAGCATTTGCTTTTTACTGGTGAATGTACTAAAGCACTTTGATGTCAGGTGCAACTGTAAGTAGGAGTGATCAATCTCTATCCTCTAGCCTTATTGCAAAAATCTTAATTAGCTTCAGTTGTGGGAGAGCCATGGTTATTGTCTCAGCAGTCCTTGCTAACTCACATTTCTCATACTGATTTGTCCTCTGCTCCCAAGTGTTTCATACTGGGATAAGAATAAGATATAGTTAAATATATTGTTACAATTTCCTCAGGAGAGACTCTGTGAATGCGTCATCTTAGATAAGAGTTATTTTCTTTCAGCAGTAGCCCCAAATCTACAGATTTTAGTCATTTCATATTCTCTGTGTGCATTCATGTGCCACAGACAAGGATTTTGATGTCTATTCTTCAGTGTGCTTGCACATTGATTGGCAGTTTTGGAGCAGGTCGTCTTTCTATTCTGCTGGGATATATAAAAGGACACACACTCCTTTTCAGACCCTCTGATTTAAGTGTTTAGACATACAGCCAGCCAGAATACAGAAGAGTGCTATAAATCAGTGAGGTTAGGGCCTAAATATTTTTATGATTCTTGATCTAAACTTGTGGAGATCTGGAATGGGTTTAAGAATCTTTTTGAACTAAATGAAACCCTTGCATTTATGTTTCTCCACTGATTTGTGATTGTATTGCTTGTTTTTTCTCCAAAAATAATCGTATGCAATATTATCATTAAAATACGAGAAAAACACATAGTTGCAACTGAGACATCAGGTGTAGCTTTTTTTGTGTGAATAGGCAGCAGATTTTAGTGCTACAGAAAGGGGAGCTCTTAAGACACCAAGGAAAGAAATGTCTGTGTACATGCAGGTATAAATGAGAGGCCCAAAGAATCTAAGGGGGAAGCTTTGTGAAAGATCTGTTTCTGGACAGGATCTGGTTTGTTTTTAGTAGCACATGAGCTCATCTTGAGCCCTAATTCTTTAGATAAGGGCATTGAGGTTACTCTGGTGTCTTACGCCTGTTTCTTCCCCTTCAGGGGATTCCAACCTGCACTTCACTAACAGCCACACATCCATCACCCTGGGCAGCCTCCTGGATGACCAACACTGGCACTCAGTTCTCATAGAGCGCTTCAACAAGCAGGTGAACTTCACAGTGGACAAGCATACTCAGCATTTTCGAACGAAGGGGGACTCGGATCACTTAGATATTGATTACGAGGTGGGTGAAACCCTTTTAATGAAAATCTGGGTGTAAAATGAATGTGATGAAAAACATCCACTCAGCAAAGCTGTTTCTTTCCAGCAGAGATCTTTATTTAATGTTTCCTTCCCAGAAAGCTCCTTTAGCAAGCATAAAGTACATTAGTGCAATTCTACCTGTGACAGTCTTAGTAAATAAACAGTCTGTTGGCAAATACATACTGGATTATGATTATATTAAAATTAAGCGAGAATTTGATCTAAATCTGTATATCTGCCTTGGTGGGGATCTGGCTTCTGGCCAAATCTCCAGGGAGAACTCTTGTATGCAGAAAGAGATTCTGTGACACCATCTCCAATATTATTTTAATGGGACCATTGAGCACTATCCCTGCATCCTCTATCTGACTGACATGACTAGGGGAATTCTGGCTCTGAGCTGTGCCACCACCATGCTCAAATGATTCTATGTAGAGATGAGCAGGTAGAGACTACCGCCTTCCTTGTAGAAGTGGGAGGCCCTGACAAAAGCCATTGAAAGATCTGGCTGTGACCCAGGCCCCTTCATATTTAGGGGTGTGATTCTGAGCATACTGGTGAACAGAAGAAACATCCTTCCCATCAAAACCAGTTGTACTCCTCTGTGATGAGGCCGACAGAGAGCAGCAATTCAGTGCTTATGGCTCATAGTGAAAAATAACTAGAAAATAAAAAACAGCAATGCTCTTAAATCTTCATCATATCTATATGCAAGACAGTTCATCATCTGCTCTTTCCACTTATACACACCTACTTGCAAATTATACATGTTCATTTTTATCCCCATGTGCTTGTCTACCAAGTTTTGTTAGCACTCAAGGTCATGCTTGCACAGTCAGAGCCATCACCCTGCCTGGATCTGTTGAGGTGTCATGGTTCATTTCTCCGAGACCAGAAGCTTCCTCTCTGCACTTTGAATTCATTTCTCTACAAAGGATCAGTTCCCAGTGCATGTTAGTGACAAATGTGGATGGCTCAGTAGTGGCAGGTACTCTGCTCCTCTCATGTTCCAGCTGAATTTCCCCTCCTTGCATTTCACAAAGCATAGTGAGGAAAGCAGTACCCATCTCTGTTAACTAACCATTTGGGTAGTAAGATTTTGAAACAGCTACAGACAACACTAACCAGAGTCAAAGCTGTATCTGTTTTTAAGGTGAATTTGGGAAGACCAAACAAGTCATCAGCTTTCCTAATTCCAAAATCAAAAAATTTCTTGCTTTCTGCTGCAAGATTGATGCCAACTTGGGAAAACTCAGGCTCCAATGTAATTGGCAGAACATTTTTCCAGATGTTCTGAAAGGGGAAGCATAGTGAAGATCTTCAGCAGAAATAAATCACCGTGTCAGCACTGACCTCTGTGGCAATCAGTCCTGGTCCCTGGTGCTCAGTATTTTATGCAAGGTGTTTTCTTCTATTTGCACTGATATGGTCTTTCAATTGAACATGACACCAATATATTCTAATGAAAGTTTATCTCAGCACACTTTGGGGATTAAAGGCCTTACTGAGGGTAATAAAACCATTAGTTTGGTAATTAAAATTATTACCAATCACAAAGAAAACAATTTTCTTTATAATGCACTGTTGTAATTAATATTGATTTTTCTTCTGGTTTTGAAACCCAATGCGGAGTCTCTAAACAGCAGATGGAAAGAACAGAAGAACATGAAAGAAGGAAAGTATGGTGCTTTAAGGAAGAGCTAATGTTTCTCTCTGGAAAAAAAAAAACATTGCTTATAACATAGGCCTGCATGCCAATAACAAATTTGCAAGTGATGCAAAGTAGCTGTCTGTTCACTCTTTATTTCTGCAAAATTATCAATTAATACAACTGAGGCACATGTTCAGTAAGGACTTGTTTTCAAAGAAGTGCTATCAAGGTTATCCAGGGAGATTTAACTTGCTCATGTGTCCTGGCTTGCTAGATGGAGTGAGAAGAAAAATAATCCCCAAATTTCCCTTTACTTTTGTAATAATGAGCTGAGGCATTAGGAGTAGCAACCGAGGAATAAGGTTGACCAGGTTCCAGCAGCCATCAGCATCTGTGGTGCCTCACAGCACTACTGTGCTGAGATCAATACAGTAGGTTTGGAGCATAGCTCCCAACATGCTGAAAACACTAAGAAGTGTGGGAGCTGCAGAATCCTCTCTTGCATTGTATCATTTATGAATCTGCTTCCTGCAAGGGGAAAATGAAGGGAAAGAAAAAAACAAACAAGAAAAAAAATGAGAGGTGTAGACAATAAGATTTTGCAAAAAAAGCTAATTAGAAATGAGCTGTGTGTCTGGAAAATGGAAATATGCTTAATGGAAGTTTTAGGCTTGGAGTTGGTGTTGTGTTAAAGGGCAACATTCTGCGTGATGCCCAGTTTGGCACAGGAAGTCCAATTGTGTTCAATATATGAATGATCACGATTATAGATTCACGAATAGTACAAATAATTATTTTCAATTTTCTTTAGGAACAAAAGGGGATTGTGTTCCAAGGATTTTTAAAGCTTTATTGACTTACTTTCTCTGTTCCCTGTAAAGTTTTAGCCCTCCTCTAAAGTGATTAGTTGTTACCTGTGTAATACTAACATATTCCAGTACTTAAAAAATAAAAAATCTTAACTTTTGTTTGAATGCGCAACCTGCAGTACTTTTCCACTACACTGCTCACTCTCAAATACTGTGTGCAAGCCCAAACCACAGTGAAATTTGAGGCAAAACATTTGCAAGATGCACATGGGGTAGTCTGTGAGCTGAAGCAAGAACTGTTCAAATACCCGGTGGGTGGAAAGGTGTGACTCCAGTTCACAGGTACTTCCATTGCATTGTGGGAATTTTATTTCCCTATTTCTCCAGCCTCCTATTGTGTTTCCTGGCTGCTGTGCTTTGCTGCTCAGTCCCCTGGTCAGAGGGGCTTGGAGTCTGAGTGTTCCTGGTGGAGGACTAGTTGATGAGATGCTGCATAATGGCACATGAAAGCCTTTTGCAAATGAGAGAGCTCACTGCGGCAGCACTGTTTCTCAAACAGCTGTAATGCTACACTGTGTAATTCCCATGCTGAGCAGCATGTGCTCTACTCTGTGCTCAGATGTGATGCTGTAAACATGATTTGTCTCTGAGATAATAACCCAATTGTCTGTATGGAGCTTTCGGCATGGTAATTAAATACTGCTCTTGCTCTTTCCAAAAGCTCAGCTTTGGAGGCATTCCTGTCCCAGGGAAACCAGGAACCTTTCAGAGGAAAAACTTCCATGGCTGCATTGAGAACCTCTATTACAATGGAGTCAATATAATTGACCTGGCAAAAAGGCGCAAACCTCAGATCTATACTGTGGTAAGAGACAGTGCTGTTTACTTTCCTTTTTACTTCCCTGCTGTTGGTGCTGCTGGCTGTATTGAATGAATGGAGTTCAGATTTAGATAGCTATCGCATATTTACTTTGTTAAAATAGTATTGCTGATGCTAGCAGTCATCTAGCTCTGACTGCTGTTGGACATGTTAAAAGATACATGTGTAAATTAATGAGTTTCTCTGACTTTGCAAGTATATTAGAATTTGTTTGGAAAAACTTTTTACTTGTGCAAGTTGAAAATATATCTTTCTGATGGCATGAGAGGTAACAGAGTTTTTTGTCTGAACAACTGAGATAAAATCTTATTTTCTGAGCCATTCCCCATCTTTATTGTGTACACTAGAAGCAAAGTTTTATTCTGCTATTTCATTTGGTATTACAGAGACAAAAGATTGTTTTTCTTACTAAGAAAAATATTTTCCTTTATAACAACCCTTATATTTAGCGTATTATTAACAATTCTGAAAACCATTCACCTGTTTCTTATGTCTCTAAATGTGAGCAGAGCTAAAGCAAAAGGAATTAGTCTTATCCAGGCTGCTAAGATAAGGTATACAAGTAACTCACACTTAATAGTTTCCAAAGTTACAAATTTATTTAAATATAATGTAAGCAAAATAAACCTTTCATATTGTAATTACAGAAAGCAGTACGCTCTTGGGCAGTGTTCAGAAATATTAAATAATTCATCTCTTTATTTTGCTTAATCCTTACTCCTTCGCCATGTTTGCAATCAAACCTTTGGCTAATACTGCGTCTTTGGAGAATACTGAATCAAAAGTACTTCTGGCTTTCATTACATTTTCTGGTTTGTAGTAAGGTGTGTGAACAGATTGAAGGTGCGACAAAGCAAACCAGAAATCCAAGAGAAATCCTTACCTTACTCACTTTCCCTGCCTAGGGCTAGACTGAATATACAAGGAAACAGACAACAGAACATGGATAGGTAAGAAGTCCTGCATCACGTTGCTGGCTGTTGAGATTGTCTCCAGGATGCTCCCCTAGCATGAGACTGAGACCTTTCTTTAACAACTCAAGTTTGATTGCTCTGACTCAGGAATCTAAGGTATAAATCTTACGAACTGCGTTAAATTGCTCTGCCTCTCAGCTTATTTTCAAAGGGGAGAAAAGAGACTTGGCCTGTTTCTTAGGTCATTAAATAGCTGGTTGTTTTTTTTGCCAGGTGGGTAATATGAAGGCCTTCCTAAATGGGGAAAGAAAAACTTTGAATGTACTTTTTCTCTTTTGGGTACTGTCTAGGCGTGACAAAGCCCTAAGCAATTAAAGTCACAATACTTCATTCAGTTAATGCTAGATTGAAGGTCTAGAAATCTTTCTTCTTTAGTCAAGTTAAAATAAAGGGGAAATGACACGTCCTTCTGTCTCCCACAAAGATGTGATGCTTTTAAAGAAAAGGCTGGCTGCTCTACTGCATTTTGCAAAATTTGTGAGCTGTTATGTTCTGTGTCTGTGCCACTTAGTTTACACACAGTACCCAGAAAATTACTGCATTCACAGATGCCTCATACTCTTGTTTGAAAATCCTTCCATAAGTAAGCATCTCCTGCAAATCTGCTATCTTCTAGCATCCTTTCCACCACAGCTATTTATATCTTCTGGCAATTTTCAGGTACTTCTAGCCATCGCAGGTTAATATCCCTCTCCCATCTTCTTGCTCTTCCCTATCCATTAGGCATTTGTTTATTCAAATTAAAATATCTTGCTCTTGCTAAATGTACTTTTTTGTCTGCCAGATTTCTTCTGTGCCTAAAAGCAGAAATACTTCAAATTTGGAGTAAAAACTCCAAGTTCATTGAGGTTTTCAAGCAGCAGTCCGTATCCATAGGGAGCTACAAGCTTATAAGCTTTTTGTCTCTGTAGTTACTAAGGCTGTCTGGAATAGAAATGCAATTAAAGGAACAGCACAGGAATAGAATTAAATATATCAAGGGCTTTTGATCATTTCTTCCAACAACCTTTGATCCTTTCCCCCAAGCTTGAGATTGCCACAGAAGGTTCTGTGTTGTTAGTCCACAAAATATCTTTGTCTCCAAACAAAAGATAAGGACAGGCCAAACAGATTGGGATTAGAAAGTCTTTAGTGCTCAGAGACATTATTTTTTCGGCCTCCGAAGTGGAGGTGGCCTTCAGCACACAGACTCTGCTTCATTCTGTGTTCATTTGGGCTCACTGACACAGTTAATGGGCTGAACTTGTTGGATTTTCATACCCAGCAACTTCTTTGTTTTGTTTTGTTCTGCTGCTTACATCTGTCGATATGTCAGCTTTAGAAGTATACGTTTCCTGTTATGAAGTTCCTCATCCATAGAAACAATAGTCCCGCATCAGCTGCATTTAAAGTCAGGGTAAGAAACTAGAGATTGTCAGTGACAGAGTGCTGTGCTACGTTGTACTCTTGGGTTGTGGGTATGATCATCATTCTGACTGTTCTTTTCTATAACTCATTTGCAGTTGTCAGACTTGCAACAAATCCTCTTGAGAAAACACTTTAAGATAATAAGGCAACTAATCTCATTTGGACTGGCATTTGCCTTCAGAATTACTTTTTTTTTTTTTTTTTTAATTGCTTCATGTTTCATCTCTCTCTGTGGTGGCCCTATTTGGCCAGACCATCTACATTCTCTCTGGTGCTCCTTCTGTCACCAATGGCATGTTGCAATTTTTTAAAAATTCCCTTAGGTTCTTGAGTGTGGTGAAATGCCAGGGGATCTTTTATTTTTTCTCCTAAGCAGTTACTGGTTTAAATTGCAAGTGGTCTGAAGAAGTCAAATTTCTGAAATTAATACTTTCATGATTGTAAGGCTGTATCCTCGGGAAGCCTTTGAAAATACCTTGAAATAGTAATTTAAAAATCTTTCCTATTACTAGTTGTGTCTGGGTTCTCAACATAAAAGCGGCACAGACTGCTCATCATGAGGAGTTACAGCAGCCACTCTTCCTGGGCCGCTAGTTAGGAGCAGGAGCTACGTTTACAAGAAACAGAAGATTTTCCCCATGGGTTACTTGAGTTATTGATATCCGAGATTCTGAAGTCCTTGCTGAAGGATTTTGACTATGCTAAGAATGTATAAATTCAGGAGCAGATTGAATAAGATTTAGGAAGGTAAATCCATTAATGATTGCTAAATAATGGAAACTATGTGTTTTCAACCCAGGCCATTCTATGATTCTATTATGTCTGACTGAAGGAGTAGTTAGTGGAAAATAGTTAAAGACTCAGAGATCACTAGCAGGAGATATCAGCTGTTTTGGTATTCTTCTTCAGACAGCCATCTATAGGTGCTTATCAAGGCAAGATGGACCTTAGGTCTGCCCCAGTACAGCTGTTGTTATGTGAGGGTGCAGAAATTTCTTTAATGCGATGCTCACTATGGTGCTGGGTGTCACTAGGTTGTAGACAGAGGAGTGTAGGGAATCCCCAGATTCATACACATCTTACAGATGAGAATAGATAAATTTAAGGAGCAGTAACTATTTCCTTCTCTGTACTAAATCCAAAGCGAAGTATCTCTGGCAGAGTAATTTAGCCACCATTGTCTACTTAGATCTGTATTCGTACCACTAGAAACTGCCCTAACATGAAGATCTGTGACCAGGGTGTAAGACTTGCTCTGTCTCAGTGGCTTATGGTGCCAAAATAGGCAGCTGTCTAGCTAAAGGAAAGAAATGAAGAGGTAATGAAAAGTTGTAGTTATGATCTTGTCAGTATTCTACTGTATGCATTTGGTGAAATTGAGGAAAACACTCTCCCTCTTTCTCTTCCTTTACCTTTGCCTAATAGCAATTGTAGTTGTATTTTTATTTAGCAGACTAAAACATACACTGACTTGAGAGGAGTGCAGGATATTTGTACGTTAGAAGTTGTCGGCTCTCAGGCATGCTTGAATTTCTACGTCAGCTTGTAGTGTTGAATCTGGGACTGACAATTCAACACAGCAAGGGATGTGATGACATGTAAATGCATCACTGTAGCGCCTCAAGGAAATAACCAATTGTGAGCATCAAAGAGCAAGGAGAGATACCTAGTGACAGGAGAATGTAAACTAATAATTCATTCCCTTTATAGAGAATCCAAACATGCTGTTTTATCAAGTTGATTTGAGATACCTTCGTTTTGAGGAGAATTTGCTTGTCTATACACATTTCTTTTTACCAAAGTGTTCTTGTGAGTGTTAATTTATATGTGAATATCAGGCTGGTAATCCAAGAAGGTATCTACTATGGTTTGAAGAACCAGGAATTTGATACATAAAATATTTTTTTTCTCTTTCTTTTAGTTTTCAACTGCAACCAGACTGTAGGAAAGATTAAAAAAAATAATAATAAAATGAAACTATTCAGTGACATTATTCACAAATTCCTATAAGTCTAAGGCAAATTTATTAAAAATAAAAAATTATCCAATTATTTAATGGATGTGTGTGTGTTTAACAACTGTAAAAAAGAGAACAACTGGGTTTGCTGTTCTTTTGATAAAGCACATGAAAACAGACTCTGGAAATATCTGGTTCCTGTAAAAATACCTAACAGACTATAGGACAGCCAGAAAGTCTATATAAATAGCATTCATTAAGGTCCCATTTTGTTGTTGCTCAATGATGTGACAGAACAGCTTAGGAAGAAATTTTGTCACCTCAATCAAAGTCTTGAAATAAAGTGTATTTAAATGACAATTTTTCCATTTATTTCAGTTGGTTTTGTCCACAATTCTAAAGGCTTTCAGTTTGTAAATATTTAATCCACTAGCTGCAATAATGCACTTTTCTTTTCTTGATAAAATAGTTTGTGTTAGGATTTTGATAGTTGTGAAAAAGCCAATAGAAGCAAATCTTTCAGGGAGTTCTACCATATTTTTTTGTAAGACTAGATGGCATGTGCAAAAAATGACAAAGTTCTGAGCAAACAAGGCCTCTTTTGAAAGTCATTAGCCTTTGGCAAATCGCAGGTTAGAAACAATTCA